GGGAGGGAAAAGAAGGAATGATATCCTCTTTGGAATTCCAAGTGCACTTGCAAGAGTACAAACCTGTGTGGGCACACAAAAGACTTCCTTGATTTGTGGCCTCTGCATACCAAAAATGTAGATGTATCTGACTTTTTGTTAACTGAAACTGACAGCGTCAAAGTGACAGCAACTTGCTTAGTTCAGAGCATTGCTCTGCTCAGTGCATGAAAGTCTCAGACTTGATGAGAATAGGCATTATTTCAGTAGGCTCTTTCTGAACAGAGAGCAATCGTGTCAGTCAAGTTAGAGAGGACAGCTTAGTCCTTTCATACAGCTATAGTGCTGTGGTTTAGTAAATTGCAGTTCCCACAATCTTATTTCTTTTGTTGTTGTTGTTGTTTTCAGTCTAGAACTGGCTGTGAAAATTCAGTGCATGGTATCACTTTGCATGCTTGTCTTTAAAAAATAATTCAACTTTGAAAATTTATTTTCAGAAGCCCAACGTTAGTGAAAAACATACCCAGCAGCTTAGGCTATGGAGCAGCTCTCAATGCAAGCTTACAGGTAAAACTGTTAAAACATTATGTTTTTAATGTGACTGCTGCATTCTATTGTGTGACTGATACCATTTGCCCTCATGCAATAGAACTCCTCACATTTATGTTTACGTGGACATTGTGGACATGACTAATAGGTGGGTAAATCACCCAAGAAAGTTGTATTACCTAGCACTGCAAGAAGTACCAGTTCCTCAAATTCTTATTACTTTTGATGTGAAGAAGCAAGAAGGACACCCTGTGGCAAAATCTGGAACACTCGGTTTTGCCGCAAATGCTAGATTGATAGAAGGTTTTGCAAATGCATGTGGGTATGCATTAATATTTATCCAAGCTGTCATGAATGATTTCACATCATAGTGTTGGGGAACATGGTGCTCATGGCAAAAACTTTAAAGTTTAATTATAAGATATAATTTTTATGTAGAAGAGGCAAATGTCAGGACTTTTTTATTTTGAGTTAAGTTCTGGTCATTTTTTTTATAATGTAGCTGCTTTGCCCGCATTACAAAATAACTGTTCTTTGCATTTTACAACTCTGGGTCAAGAGCACTTTTGAGTTAGAAATAGTAGGGGGGGAGAAAACATTGTGCATGTCTGTATCAGTGTTAATAGCTCATCCTTTGATGCAAATATATGTGAGCCCTGTAAAGTCAGATGAGGAACAAATGCCCAAAGATTTCCACTCATCAGTTGGGTCTGTTTATAGGCACACACCTCAGTATATGTTGAAACTACTTTGAAAGGTAAATAGCTAAAAATGATTCATCTCCTTTAGGCTGCGCTGGCAGAGAGTAGTTTACCTTTGCTTAGTAACCCCGGATTGATAAACAACGCATCCAGTGGCTTACTGCAGGCAGTCCATGAAGACCTCAATGGTTCGCTGGATCACATTGACAGCAATGGAAACAGCAGTCCAGGTTGTTCTCCTCAGCCTCACATGTAAGTATGGTTAGCATCCTTTAGTGGTGTGTGGGGGGGGTAATTTCTCTTAAACTCTCTGGTGTTCAAGCATTCTTTCAAAGGCAGGTAAGAGTATTCAGACAACTGTATATTTAAGCTGTGAAGGGGATACTTCATCAGTGCATGTTCTGAATCCCATTATAACAAATGCTTCCTGTTCGCTCCATGGTAACATGACACGTCAGAGAGTCCAACAGGAAACACTTGTGTGTTGTAGAATGTTCTGCTCACCTAAAATAGAACAGGAAGGCCCATCTCATATGGCTATGTGAATTGTGGCATTGGACCCAAGTCCTGAACAGAGTTGCATGCACAGGAAATCTTGCTGGTTTAAATGCAGCTTATATGTGCCTAAATGTGTATATAGAACTAAAGCCTTGAAAAACCAGTAGCTAATATCATGTGGAAAAAATAAAGGCACTGGTCTTTTGTTATTTACACTGTCCTTGATCATCATTATATAAATATTCAATGTGATTAACTCTTTTTAAATCATACATACGGATTCTTTACCTCACCTTCCCATTTAATCTATAAGAGTACACAGCAAGAACAGTCCTGTAAGAATTAGGTACAATTTAGCTAGACTTCCAAGTCCTTAACGCATTTATGGACTGTTGCAAAGATATTGCCCATTTATATAACCGTAAAATGCGAAGTTTAACTGTTATGCTGGGTTTACATAGAAGCTAGTAAAGTGTAACTTTTTGCCTGTCTTATAAATCAGTGTAATTACATATTCAACTTTAATTACTGGTGCGTCTGTATTGGCAAGGTTTATATGTTATATTTTATGCAAGACTACGATTCCTATTAATATTTAGCAGCTAACTATATCATTAATTACTCTAAAATCTTTCCCTTACCATCTTTTTAATGCAGCTCAGAGAGTGGCAGTATTAAAAATTGATGTATTGTGGATTTCAGAAATGTGTATGAAGCCTGAGAAATGCCTGGCCTTAATCGGGGGTGTCAAATATGGCAGTTTTTTGTTAGTAAATAGTAAAACACGTACCTTGGAGGTATCATTTCCTAGGTTATTTATATAATAATTAGAGATGTGACATATAAGTAAGTTTACTGTAGGATGCTTCTTTCTAATGTACAGTTACGTCCTTAGTTAACATTTTTTTTAGAACATTGCATCTGGTCCCTTTTTTAATTTTATGTTGCCGTTTCATATTTTCTGTACCTATTAAACATGTAATGATGCTGGAATAGTAATTGCAAGTGAAGCATTAGAGCTTTTTTCCTATTGGAGTACATGTTGGATGTGCCTTTGTATCCGTTGATTTGCTTTCTTACTCATTTCCAGGTTGGCTCCCTTTTTTATTTCTCTTGGAAGGTCAGTAGACAAATGAGACTATAGATATATTTTTATGTCTTTAAGGCTGTATACTTCATTAGTTTATTTGCTATTTATTGTATCACTTTGGGGAGGGGAGCCCCGACTCATATACACTAACGAGTGAGAATATTAATTTGCTCCAGTGAGTTCCAAACCATTACTTTTTTTTATTTTTAATGGAGAAATTTGTCTTTCAGAAGTGTCTTTAGATGTATTAAATAATACAAAAGAAGTAATAAAACTTGAAGTATAAAGACCATGAATATAAGCTCCTGAGAGCAACAGTACTCTAAAACAAGTAAAGTGAGCCATCAGACAAAAGTTTTTATATCCCATGCTGTATCCTATCAACCATGCATTGGGTAGCTTGAGGCCTTTTACTTTCAGCAGTTCTCCTGAGTATGCTAATGCTCCCTTTCTGTCTAAAATGCCAAGACAATAAAACGTTAAAGAGCAAACAAGAGTTAGATCGTATGTATTAAAAACAGCTATTTGACAGGAATGAATGACATTTGCTATTTAGAACTGTTTGGTAACAGTGTAGCAGATCATGGGGGGGTAGAGTGTATGTACACTGAGCAGCGCATGCTGATTGTGCACAGTATATGTCTTGAATACCATGTATAATCAGCATGAACTGTTCTGTGCTATACAAAGGGATCAAATACTGCCGGGTTTTTCTGAGTAATCAATTGCCAATTTCAGTGAAGAAATGAAAGTGTTATGTAGAGTAAGTAACATACCCTAAGCATTGAAAATGAAGGGGACAGAAGGGACCAGAAGAGAAGGTAACAGATTCTAAGAGTTATTAACAGTAGTGGCATATATATTTTAGTTTGGGACGTAGTGTCAGTATTCCAGTACAGCATATGAGAACTTGACATAACATCAATATTTCAAGAACATTGTCCCCATAACAAACAGATATGCTAGGGGAATCATATGGCTGGACCCTGTGATTAGGGTTGGGCACGGACTGGGAAAATGTGGTTCTTGGTTCGTGGCATGCCCGGTTCACAAACCACAAACCATCACTAACTTTTAGCAGCCAAATGAACCACCTGTCATTTCCCCAGAAAGCACTTTCCTCGGGCACCTTCTTTGGGGGACCATAACTTGGACCCCATAAATCCAATCCTCGCCAAACTTGGAGGACAAGTAGAGGAGAGTCAGCCACGGTCTCTTTAAATGCCTTCCTTTCACTTGTTGAGGCGTGCTGCCACCGCTGCACAACTCAGGGAGGGAAGGGAAGGTATTTAAAGAGACTTTAAATACTTTCCCTTCCCTCCCTGAGTCACACTGCTGCCACGGCATGCCTCAGCAAGTGAAGGAAAGGCATTTAAACCAATCTGCTGACAGGCGGACCTGCCACGCTGTTCCATTTAAATGGGAGGAAGCCTTTTCAGTGCTCCTTTTCACTCCCCCCGCTTCAGAGTTGGGGGGAATGAAACAGAGGGGTTTAATGGCTTTTTGCCATGTAAAGGTAACTTTGCAATACCAATTATTTCTGGAATATCGATATATACCGATATTTTTTGGGTTTGGCATACCTAAACCCCCCCAAAAATTTTGTGCACACCTCTGCTCATTGACAAAACACATCCACATTCCAAACCACAAAACCTATAGACTTGTACATTTGTGTATGTGAAATGTACAGACTTAGAAATATCTTTCCAAGCAATAGAACACAGATGTTTATACTTGGTGAATGACATTTAGTAGACTGACTATTTGTGGACTTAGTGGAATTAACAATATTGTTACCACTGCATTATCCCAAAATCGATCCACCTGCTTGGAACATGTACAGTTGCAGCAGCCACAATGGAGAATGGTACTTTTCCAAAATATGCCAGAGTATGCCACACCTCTGCCAGCATTTGATGTAATATACCAGGGTGCATAGAGGAAAAACCAGGCTCCATCTCAGCCACATGGCAGCCATACTAAAAGATTATGGTGGATTTGCTAAACTTATGCTCTCCCCTCATAAAGGTAAGTATGTCCATCGAATAAATTGATTCAGCTTTTCTCTTCTAAGTCCTACAAGGTATTCCAAATAAAGTGTATGCACAAATAATGCTCAGAATTCTTCATACTCAAGACTCAACATAGATGTAGGGTGAATTTTTTTCCAGTACATTGTTTTTCTCTGGAAATCTTCCATTTGCAAAAATTGTTTCATAAAATTAACAGTGAATGGATGCCATAGCCAAAGCAATCCCAGGCAACCTGGGCAGTTTCAAAGTTGTAATTGTTTTCCAGCTTTCATTATCTCTGGTAATTATAAGAGAGAATACATGTGTAATTTAATTATCTGTAAAGGGGTGGGGCTAAGGGAGTGAAATATAACCACAAATATTTAATAAAAATACCAAATAAAAATCAAATTATGAATTCACCTAATTGGCTGTGCAGGTCAAATCAAAAACCAAAGCTACAACTCATATAGGAGAAGAGATATTGTAATCACCATTCTGATAAAGAACTAATGCAAGGGATGGCACTCTAAGCCTTTCTCAATTCTCAGACAGAGGTCTTTCACCTAACACACTACCAGATTCTTTTAATTGGAGATGTCAGGGATTGAATCAAGGGTACCCTTCTGCTCTCAGGAGGAGTCTCTCTGTGAGCCGAAGGGCATCCTTAGATACAAATGTATGACTGTTCAGACATCACAGATCATCATTTGTTATTGCAGTCAGGAGCGAGAAGTTTTTCTGGTCACTTCCTCCCCTCGCATGATGTAGTGAAATATGAGACTTCCTTGTGTAGTAGGGTTTAACCACCATTTGTGGAGACAAGTAAATAAGGCGGGGTTGACCAATTGTGGCTCATTTCTTGCTTACAAGCAAGAGTCCAAACACACTATTAAATTGTGGTTTTGATTCCTGGTCCACAAGAAAGAAGCAAAGAATGGTTTGTTGTACTGTGATTCAGACAGAATGGCAAATTGCGGTCAGTCCTGAACCATTATAGTGCACAAGTGAGGAACCCGCTTGAGGGCTGCAGTTGCCTGACTGTTCCCTGAGTCTCTAGGAATTCAGAGGTTTGGCTTTGAGCAAGGTTGTTTTTCTCCCTGACAAAGAACCTTGGGCAGGAAGGAATTTTGCTGTTTTTCTGAAGCATTCTCAAGATGCTTACACAGAAAAGAACTCTGAGCTGTTCTTTGAAAATGTTTTTCTCATAACCATCCCAGTGCATTATTTATTCCCCTTCAGTGTTCTTGTACTCTGCTTCATTTTAAAGTATTGGAATTAGTTGAAGATGCGTATCCACCCACCATCTTTTCTGATACCTGTCTTTTCTGCAATGGTTACATCAGGAGTTATCAAAGTATAGACTGGGAGCTAATTTGAAATAGAAGCATATGTGGCTTGAGTCAGTCTTTCCTCCTTCAGTTGTACACTATGTTTAAAAAGTTCTAATTCAGTATGGCTTCAGTGCCCCTTTTCTTACATTTCTGCTGTAATTCCCAACCCCTGCCCCCTTTACCTTTCCAACTTTTGCCCAACCGGGATCTCTCCTTTTTTTATCCTTCACAGTTTGATCTGCATAAATATCAAACTTTTTAATGTTTTCAAACTTTTTTATTCTTTAAATTTTAATCCCAAAGGCATGCGTGATT